CTGCTAAGCGTTATTCTCTCCATCATATTACCCCTCGTTATATCGCCACGCATGCTGAACTTATCAATGCAAGTCTCAATCGCAAAACACACAGGGCGCAATCGGCGCATAGAACAAAGTGGCTTCGATTTCGGGAGTTCCGGGTATAGTAACCGGCGCTGTGCACTCTCCTCGAGGCAACGGCATGACGCACATCAAAGATGCGAGCGTGCCGGGTGACTGTACTCTGGGTTCATCGTTCTCGGTTATGTAATGTTCGACCGTATGGTGCAAGCGCCTCGACGCTACTCGTGGCGCTAGAGTTGTCGGACGAGAGCAGCACCACACGATATACAGACACGGGCCGCATCGAATCCTCTTCGCTCCAATACAGTAGTCGTCCGTCTGTGTCCGAACGATGCCACACACACACGCACACCAGTGCATAGACACGTGTGCGCGTCCTCCTTCGTACACGTACACGAAAACCTCGCTCCTCTCGCTCTTTCTCTCCTCTCTTCTCTTTCCTGCTCTCGTACACCCTCTTTTCTCCGTCTCGCTTTAGCGCCCTCGCAGCGCGATATAGACGCCGCATTACCGAGCTGAGAACGAAAATAGAGGGCAACGGGAACCGCAACTGCAGCAGCCGCATTTCTTCTCTTTCTCTCCTTTCACGTATCCCGGGTCTTTACTGACTTGCACGCATTTTGTAACGTTTGGCGAATTCTGCGGAAGAAATTCGCAGGATGCTGCATCATTTTTGGGATCTACTGGTGGTCTCGTTTAGATTCTACAACTTGGAAACATCTACTAAAAGTCTATGTTTGTATCGGTTTTGTGTTACAAGTCTATGTTTGTATCGCAAATAATCTTTCGGTATATACTGTATTACATATTGCAGTTACATATTGCAGTTTGGTCCGAATACTTGCTTTCTGTTAGATTCTGAGGATAAAATAACTTTATCGTAATAACTTCTATGTGACAGTAGGATAGTGCGCATTTTAAGAGTCCACCCTGGTTATTTATTCAACCTGGTCATCTATCTTAATATTGGCGAATCATGCAGTGAAGTAGACACCTCTAGGAAAAAAGATGATATGGGTCGTCAGAATTGGGACACCGAGTGAACGATAAAACTTACTTTAAATTACTTACATGAATTACAAAATTTTTATGTGAGATTTTCAGCTTGGAGATTTGAAAATTTTCTCAATTTTAAATTCCTAAAAATAAACTCGTTATTATAACCTCTTGTGACAATCAATTATAACGCTCGATTTCATCTCCATTTTACCCAGGTGCTCAACTGTATACCAAGTATACATGGACCCCGAGAATTTGAAGCTCGAGGTTCAAATTTTGTCACGTGCATTCGATATCGAGTTGAAAGTCGTGTCCCATAAGCCTCGATTGATTTAGGGTTGCTCGTGGTTGAGATCGGGGTGTATTCTTGGTCGAAATCCAGGTTAGAAGTCGTATAAATAGGAAGCTTCTCTGGAAATTATTTTTGGGATCGTTTCGAAAAGCATCTGATGATTGTTAATCCTAAATCCTATTTCCTTTCGGGTCCTCTTGCTTCTTAATATTGCAAACGTTAAACGCGATTGCAGCGTAGAAATAGGAATACCTGTAACTTAACCGGGAAAGCTTCTCTAAGAATAACTTGATTTTGCAGCGTTTTGAAGGGAACGGTTCTGTAGTCGCACGGTGAATTATATTCGAGAAGCGGTCGGAAATTTTGTGCTCATGCAGCTTCATCGAGCGGTCAAGAATCGGTTACGCGTCAGCATTAATTTTCTTCGACGAACGATCCTCTTCAGGCCACGGAGGAAAAATTCTCCCCGTCTCCGAGGGACATTCCATCCCGTCCCTTTTGCGGGATACATGCAACGAGACTCTCGTTCGATACACCGTCTCCCGTTCGATGGGACAACGTAGATATCGAAAATTGTTCGATTGTTTGCGACGTAACGTCGTTAAAATTTGTCCGTTACACGATGAGGCGATATTGTGACGCGAACTGTTGCGAGTGATCGATAAATGGTTGAAGACCGGTCGACGCACCAGAAACCACCGTAACGTGTTCAAAGTACAAGTTGTTAGTGAATTTTAAATGAAACACCGAAGCGTGGAACGTAAATGGAGGGAAGTCTCTCAACATTCGGTGGGCCAAGTTGGGGGGCGGACAGTACTAGTCCTCAGCCACCGGAAACGACGAGAACGAGGGTGCCAGTGCAAGCTCCGAGTCCAGAGAATACACTTTTGGACGATCGTAGGCTCCAGGTTAATTCTATACGAGGTACTTGAACGTGTCACAAACTTGACATTTTATATTGTACTGTGTCAAAAGGATGAAGCTTTGAATACATACTTCTTTCTGTCGTTTTCTCTTATGAACGCTTGTCACGAGATAATCGGTGACATACTCAGGTGTAATGTAGGGTGCTCAGATTCTTTTTCATCCACAAAATGAAGGGTTATTGTAACTAAACGGGTGAAGGATGTAGAATTAATTTTAAAACAGTATCAGTCTTTATTGTTGCAAAGTATACGTTGTACCTGATGTGTGACATATGTGACAATATGTGGACAATTCTCCAAAATTTAAGAATTATTGTAACTGAACGTTGTATAGGTGAAGGATGTAAAATTAATGTTAAAACAGTATCAGGCTTTATTGTTGTAAAGTATACGTTATATCTGATGTGTGACATATGTGAAAATATGTGGACAATTCTCCAAAATTTAAGGGTTATTGTAACTAAACGTTGTATAGGTGAAGGATGTAGAATTAATGTTAAAACAGTATCAGGCTTTATAGTTGCAAAGTATACGTTGTACCTGATGTGTGACATATGTGAGAATATGTGGACAATTCTTCAAAATTTGACTACTTAGATGCTTGAGAATTCTTCATTCTCTTGAAATAAAAAATAAGTTAATTCTTAACCCCACGTTATGCCTGAGTATTACATATTAAACGAAAAACTAAGAGCTAAAAAAATAATTGCAAACACTGCTTTACATTAAAACCTTTAAATACATCATGAAAATTGAACACATCATGAAAACTATTACTAAACGCTATTAATATCTCTCATTTTATACGAAAGATTAATGTATAACAAATATACGAATGCAATATCAGGAAATACATTTCATTTTATTTTATATTCCGTATTACACTCGTTCTTGTTTGCAAAAGATTTTATCCAAAGCGTACAATTACGATATGCAATATAATCCGCTATATCGGGCGACTCTGTTTTAAAAAAGAAAACAACAGAAGCCCCAGAGGGATTGTTAGAATTTTAAACCAGTCCTTTTCCCGTCTTCGAACCATGTAGAACATCTCATTGAAATAATTTTGTTATTTTAATGATTGCATCCGGAATGCAAGACCACGAGTCGCGGAAATTCTTGTCCCCTTATCGTGAAACTGTTTGTAACGAAAGAGAAGAGAGGAGTTTTATAAGGGAATTTTAAAAGTACAGTGTTCCTGTTTACCGCAAACAGAAGGACGCCTTTTAGAGACGATTTCGTCGGTTCGCAGAGTGCATCCGGAATATGCAATTACAATATGTAACAAGAGCGGTATATAATAGGACTCTTGATCGTATTTTTAGTACAAACACTATCACAGTGTTTATCAATTAAATCGAAGGGTGGATTTTTTTTACATTTATTTCTAATATTCTTTTATACATTTTTATATTTGTACAATGTACAGAATTTAATAGTAATATGAAGTGATATAGTATTTACATTTTTATGCTTCTATTTCACATTTGGTATTAAGGATGCATTTTCTTACTGAACTCTTTAATATCTGTCATTTGTTACATTTTTTTATAGTAGAAAATTTGTTGAAATTTTTCATATATCAATTTTTATGCAAAGAAAGAATTCATGTATATACTAGCTTATCCATTAATTATTTTCATATTTAATTTTGTATAAGTAGATTCAGTATTAAGTACCTATAACAAATACTATGATAAGAACATGTGACGAATTATTTCGTTATACCCCGCACAACATGAAAGTTTCTTTTTAGCCTTGATTTTCCGACAGAAACGAGCAAATTTATCTGTCCCTTATCACGTCACATTAAAGTGATACGAAATCTGGTGAGACCGTGGCAGATAGCTCACGATGCATTTATGCTATAGTGTTGCATCGTGATAGAACTCGTTTATTGTGCTACAATCGAAAAGGTTATCCATAAGTACTATGGTGTGGAGTTAAATGGGGTGGGAATGAAAAAGTAACGGAGTGGAGGCAAACCTCTTCCTCTTTGATACGCTCTGTTATCGCGAAATGATGAAACGGTAAACAAACGTATTGACTTTCATGTCCAAACAGTTTGTTGGATAAAAGAGAAAAGAGACAGAAGTGTACCTTCACATTTTTTATTATTAAATGCATTCTACGATAATATTGAAATATTCTATTTTTTGTATAATTATGCTGATATTCAATTTAGGGTTTCACTAATTTTGTCAGAATCGATTTTATAGAATTTAAAACACAGTCGTTTTTATAGAACTGTCGATTTCATTTAAATGAGAACTCTTTGGAAATTTTAGAAATTATCAAGTATATTATTGAGCGACAGGGTCAATGATTTAGATTTGCAAAATTGAATTTTTATTTATATTTAAATCTAGCAATTTTGTCCTTGTACATTGTCCTTTGTCCTTTTGTAAGAACTACATGAAATTAATTATAGATCGAGTTAAATATTTAAAAAATTAAATATACAGGAAATGAATGAAATTCGATATAATATTCTAGATTCAAATTAAAATTAGACTTGAATTTAACATTTTTAAGATTAAGTATTGCAAAGACTCAGATATAAGAAGTCTCAAAAATGACAAAAATAGAAATGTACCTATAACATATGTGTTAGACCAACACCCAGCTGATAAATTGCAAAAAATTAATTGTAGAAGAAAAGTAAAAAATTTCTTCTACTGTATAATCCAACTAACGGATTTGTTATCTGTTTTCAGCCCAGATCGAAATAATCCCGTGCAAGGTGTGTGGCGACAAGAGCAGCGGCGTTCATTATGGCGTGATCACCTGCGAGGGCTGCAAAGGCTTCTTCAGGCGGTCGCAGTCGTCGGTCGTCAACTATCAATGTCCACGGAACAAGAATTGCGTGGTCGACCGTGTAAACAGAAACCGGTGCCAGTACTGTCGGTTGCAAAAGTGCCTACGCCTCGGCATGTCCAGAGATGGTGAGTACATATCGTTAATCCGGAGGCTGACTTCTCCTCGGAGGACCTCAAGGTTAGCCTAGGACTTGCGTTACATACTTAACTCCTCTAACGAGTAACGTAACTGACTTACTGAAACGATGTCACTCTCTGTGGGCAACTAATTTGCAGATACCACTCGATTGATTAATTATTCAAATTGCTAGTAAACGAGTATGATTTCATACGGTATCCTCGCGTGTTTCGAAATATCTACTATTTTTACCTCTTTGGAATTTCGATTGGGAGTTTATTCAGGAAAATTTATTTTATTTTTGGGAAAATTTATCTGTTATTTTTACTCATTTTTGGTGTTTGTAATTGGACACATTCAGACTGCAATTATTTGTAGTGAGTCACAGAATTTTAGTGATGTGAGGAGTTCATAATTGTGAAGATTTGAATAGATGGAGTTTTCTGTTATTTTTAGTTGTCTGGTGCTCTAAGGGGTAGAAGAGGGTTTCGGAACTGAAAGTTCCTTTTACAATCTTGACTCGAGCCGTTCAGACGATAGGTGATTGAAGTACACATATCAGACATAAACATATCAGAGAAGATAAATTTTCCACTACTCGATTCCTCAATTTGAAAATTTCTCAATCTCAAAACTTCAATCTTCTACATCCCCAAAATTTCCCGATTTCAAATTTTCACTTCACCAAAAAATTGATTTTATAGCCCTATATGATGCATGATGATGTCCCACACACCTACTTACATGTTGATGCACTGCATCGACACAAAAATTCTTAATTCCCAGAACTTTTAATTAAATCTTAAAAACTTGAACTCAAACGCTCAAACGTTTGAACATAAAATTCAAACGCTGTGACTTATGCGTATAACCATTTCGAGGTTTATCAATGAATAACTATTTTAACTGCAGTCAAGGAAGTTATGGTAGAAAATATATAGCACAGAATAGAATTAATTCACTGTTCGTTTTTAAGATCTTGTATTTAAGAAAGAAGATTTATCTTCAATTAGAGATTCGAAGAAAAACGCTGATAAACGAGTCGACTGGGCGATAATAGTCATCAGAGTCACGCTAGGAGACCCTTGCAACGATGCAACAAATCACCAGCACCGATATGAAAAAGGAATTTCTTTGTTTCGAGCATTATCGCGTGTTAAGTTACCCGACACGTGAACGTGTTCCCTCTGTGCTACGCATTTAATGCGTATGCACTTTCAATAGGGAATGTGAGTCTAGCAGCGATCATAGATGAATATTGGAATTTTATAAATTTATCAAAATGTTGAAATTTGGAAGTTGGATATGGAGAAATAAGAAATGAAATCTGCGAGTTTGGGAATTTTGAAATTCAGAAACTTAAAAATTTAGAAATCTTGAAATTCAGAAACTTAGAAATCTAGAAATCTAGAAATCCTGAAATTTAGCCATTTGAAAATTGAAGAAATGGAACATTTGACAATTTGGGATTTCGTAATTTGAAGATTTGACTATTTCGGTCTTTGAGGATTTAGAATTTGACAACTTGGTGATTTTTGGTTTTGAGAGGGTTTGATAATTTCGGTCCTTGAAAATTTGGGGATTTGTCAATTCGGACATTGAGAATTTGGGGATTTGTCAATTCAGATCTTGAGAATTTGGGGATTTGTCAATTCGGACATTGAGAATTTGGGGATTTGTCAATTCCAATCTTGAGAATTTGGGGATTTGTCAATTCGGATCTTGAGAATTTGAGGATTTGTCAATTCCAATCTTGAGAATTTGGGGATTTGTCAATTCGGATCTTGAGAATTTGAGGATTTGTCAATTCCAATCTTGAGAATTTGGGGATTTGTCAATTCCAATCTTGAGAATTTATAGATATAGGAAGAAATTCCAAGCTTCCAAATCCAAACATTAAACATCTATAAATTATCGAATTTAAACATTTCACACTTCCTCTTCAATTCAAAACTTTGATACTTCTATATTCCCAAATTTCCAAAATGAATAAATTTCCAGTCCACAAAAGTACAAAATCCTCTAAAGAACTAAACTAAAGAACTAAACTAAAAGTCCTCTGAAGAACTAAAAAATCTTCGCTTCGATATAAAAAGATAAGCATCAAAAAAATTCCCCTCTAATCGTTCTCCAAATCCATTGACTAATTATTCGCAAGCAATCAATCCACAAATTCCCGAATTGCTTACGCGTTATCGAGATTATCTCCTAACAAATTGTATAACGCGTTATAAATTAATAATTAGATACGAGATCGATGTTATCGTAGGATAATGATTTCCGGGCGTACACACAGTATTTCGATCGTTCTACAAGCTTTATCCATTTCCAGCTTTGCAATCTCGCGAATTTATAGCAGATGCATTACCGTGACGACGTAGCTGATAAACATTCGATTTACAGTGGCAGAGAAAGCAAATCAGATACACGGGGATAATAGCGGCCACGCGTGCCGCTCGGGGTGTACGACCCTTTATCGGAGGCTGTCCATCCCTCCTCTCCTCCCAACACCCCCACACGCCTCATTTCTCTCTCTTTCTCTCCTCTCGATGTAGCTCTAGGCCTCTTACCGCGTTGCTGCACCTTATCGGACCGCGTACACGAGCTGTCTTGGACACGTTAACGACATTCGAGCGTAAGCAACTAGACCTGCTTTTCCGACTTCGCTTTAGCAGCTTGTTTTTAGGTGTTTCGACTGTCGAGGAATTTGCGAATCTCTTTACCGCGACATAACTCGAGGGATTGGTTTTATTGTAAGGGGCTGTTTCACTTTGAACTGGAATCTAATGACACTTTCAGGAATTTAAGGAAATTCTTTGATGTTGATTATTTATATCGTGGTGATGGACTTGTCTGATGTAATTTATGTAACAGATTTTTGTTGCAAGGTATGTTGTAGATTATTTTGGAAATATATCAAGGGTTTATATCAACAAATATCAATTTGTTCAATTGTAAGATAAAACTTGTTTCAATTTGTACAAAATTAGTAATCGAGTATGATACCAATGTCTGCATGATTTTAGCTACGTGATGGGCTGTTTCACTTTGAACTGGGATCTAATGTCACTATCAGGAATTTAGGGAAATTCTTTGATGTTGATTATTTATATCGTGGTGATGGACTTGTCTGATATAATTTATGTAACAGATTTTTGTTGCAAGGTATGTTGTAGATTATTTTGGAAATATATCAAGGGTTTATATCAACAAATATCAATTTGTTCAATTGTAAGATAAAATTTGTTTCAATTTGTACGAAAATTAGTATTCGCCTATAATACCAATATCTGCATAATTTTAGGTTACAGTGTTTTGTTCATATAATTTTGGTGATTTTATTTGAAGTCATTGTTTAGAATTTTTTAACTTATCAACATATGAACATATAAACTGGGTGAACATAGTGTTGTAGATTATTTTGGAAATATATCAAGGGTTTACATTAGCAAATATCAATTTGTTCAATTGTAAGATAAAATTTATTTCAATTTGTACGAAAATTAGTAATCGTTTATAATAGCAATGTCTGCATGATTTTAGGTTACAATGTTGTTCATATAATTTTAGTGAATTTATTTGAAGTCATTGTCTATGATTTTTCAATTTATCTACATATGAACATATAAATTGTGAGTAAATAATTTGATACATATGATGTTAATTTGATAGAATAATTGTGGAGGACAAATATTTGACCATTACGTCAAACCCGTACTGAATATTTCATTCAAAAAAACTTGTTTCGAGACATGATTATTGTACGGTTATTAATCTTCATTCCTCGAATACCTTCTGACTTGATGGTCTTTCTTTTTATCTCTTACGGGTTTGCATAGGGTCCGGTGTTTATCTTCTTAATAACATGGTTCTTTACTTAGGATGGAGAGTAATGATTCAAAAGGTTTAAAGTGATCTCAATTTTTCAACGCAGGAAGAAGTGTATCATAGTCTATTTCGTTCACTAATTTTTCCGAGTGAAAAGTACTTTAATACAGTCGCTGTTTTCGGGATTTTGTTAGATAAAATGGCGGGTTTGATAAGCAGTAGTCGAAAAGCAGGACGTTGTGGTCGCATCCGATAGAAATCGCAGACGTCTTTATTATGTTGTGGAAAATACGAGGCTCGTTAATGGCGTTATTGTTAATTGCGTGCTCGGATGATTCATGGTAGTAAAATGTCGAATCACTTCCTTTGAACAGCAACTATAATTGTAGAAACTCTTTGGGTTCTCTTTGCATTTTATTCAAATATCATAATGTAATCCATAACTTAATACGTCAGAATTTTTTACTTTCTTCAAATATGTAAGACAATTTGGTAACTTAATTGAATTACATAATTAAATCAAATACATTAAATTGAAAGAAATACTGAACGATCTTCGTTAAAATAATCAAATACAATAAAATCATTGAATTACACAATTAAATCAGATACATTAATTTAAAAGAAATACTGAACCTTCACGATCTTCGTTAAAATAATCAAACCCAATAAAATCATTGAATTACAAAATGACTAACTTGACGTTGAAAATAACAGAAAATACCAAAAGACAAAATCAAGGTAATTTCCAAAATAATTCCTATCAATTAACGTCAACTAACAAGAATAGAAATCCGAAATCCTTATTTTTACCAGCAACACATGCACTCAAAATATGACATCGTTAAATCCTCCTTCCAGCAACACATTACCACGATGAACTTTGATCTCTTCATAAATATACAGTTTCTATTTTCTTTAATTGAAGCACCACGTGTCGCGATGTGAACGCAACACGCTTTCCTCCTGCGATCATTGACACCGAATCGTTTAACGGCCGTTCGAGAAGACAGAATCGATATCGATTATCAATTTATCCGCGTTGTAGAAGGGCCGACGTACGTTCAAACATTTTTCATCGTCCATCATGCTTTCTGAAAAGAAAATACACGGCTGTTTAACAGCGTTCACCGCTCATTCATGCTCGTTCTTCTCCAATCTCGGTGTGAAGCGTTCCCAC